CCATCTCATACTTTCTGCTCCCACACATTTGCCTTAAAAAGCTTTGATCTTGATGGAAAAATTATGCTCGCATCGGTTCCCACTGCAGTCACTGGTATACAGTTCCCCAGTGACATAGCAGGCCAGCCCAGTTCAGACAGTCCTCCTTCTTTGGAGACTGTTTGTTGTGGAGCGTCATTTGGGCTGATCTGTCTTTTCCATCGCCTCCTCATGTAATTTCCTGACATTATGAAAACGTATAACACATTTATTTATATGTTATAAACTGTATATGTTCTGGTTTCATTTTATTCTGACATTATTTAAAGGAGCAGTTGGTATTTTCATGTAATTAATAAAAAAAATCAATGTCCAGATTATTGGGATTACCCAACAATGGAATAAAATACACAATGGGACCACTGTTTAATTCAAAACTGAGTGACTGGGGAAAAAAGTCAAAATCGATTTACTGTTCTACATTGTACACTCTGTAGGAATACAGAAAAATATTTGTGTAGAGATAGGGAGTATTGTGCATTCTTAACAGAGACCTGCAGGCACACACTGTCTGTTGCAGCAGGATTTCATTTGATTTAGTCGTTTTATTTTTAAGTCTTGTTGCCAAGGCCCTCCGATATTGCTGCACAGCCTCTTCAGCTTTGACACATATTGTTAGCATGTGTTCGCACACAGAAAAACATGTGTGTGTATATGCAGAAGTAAAATAGTGAGGGAAGTGACTGGCAGAATGCCTCAGAGTGTTAACACTGTCTAGCCTGCTTTGATTTTTGTTGCATTTGCCTTTTTTTTTTAAGACCAGGTGCTTGACTGGAGAAACTAACTCTTTGCAGGAATAAACACACACTTGCGGTATGATTGTGTTAAAACACGCTGGGGGCAAAGTGGACGGAGATAGAGCTGCAAAGGGCAGTGAACTGAAACCTGATGTGTGTGTGTGTGTGTGTGTGTGTGTGTGTGTGTGTGTGAGTATATTCATATCTTTTCTTTTGCTCAAGTCCCGTTTGAGAGTGTTGGTGGTTTTGTGTGTGTGTGTGTGCGTGTATGTTTGTGTGGGTGTATTTGCTGGATTATATCACTGTCTGCAGTGTGTGCTCGTTTCAGATGTGCTCTTCCTCATCAGCACACACAAAGTCTTATTTTTTTTTGTTGCTGTGTGCCTGTGTGAGTGACTGACTGTGTGAGTGCACATGTTTATTGCTCTCTAGTCCACCATAGAGGCATTCCTAATGAGGCTTGAATCTGTGCTGCATGGCTTAGAGCCACGCTTGTTGGCTGAGCGATAGGAGGAGCATGTGAGTTAGTGCTGGGTGGGGTGTGAGGGGGTTATAAATGTTTAATTCAAACACCACCCTGTGGTCATTTTACATTACCAGCTTTTTAAGTCATGTGTCAAGAAAATAGAATTGAATTGTGCAATATGTATATGTAACATTTTTAGCTCTAATGCTCATTGAAATGCTTAAAATAAAAGAGGAAACATAAATACAAAAAATGTAATTTAACTGTTGTAGTGCAGTTACAGTTTAATAATAAAAACTGTACTGATCTGAAAAAAATTTCTATTGCAAAAACAAAATACTGTGTAAATGCCTACACTTGCTTCAGTTGGGTGGTTGGTGGTTGTTGTCATTTGATCTCCCGCTTCACTGTCTTTTTTTTTTTTTTTTTTTTTTTTTTTCTGTCCGGTGTCTGAGGAGTCCGAAGAGAGCTCTCACAGGTCAAGCACCGCTGTTAATTAGTTGTTCACAGCATCTTCACTCAAATCCAACCGTAGCTGCTTTAAGTTGACAAGTAATGAGAGAGCCAGAAAGATGAGCACATAACGCCGTACCTCTTTTAACCTCCTCATCACTCAGGTTAAAAGAGGACAGTTTCTATAAATACCCTACTACTACCAGACTTGACGATTCGAAGTGAAGACCGGTACATATTAGAAAGCATGTGCCAAAATTGAGTGCCAGTGTTGCCATAGTGCGTACAGGTCATGATAAGGTCGGGTTGGATTATTTCATTTCATTGTCATGCAATGTGATTACTGTGGGATATCCTGTAATTATTATTGGAAACCTTATAAATAACTTTGTGTGATCTATAGTCAAACATCATTTATGTTGACTTTACAGTATGTATTAGTTGAACAGCAAGATGAAAATGACTGTTGAGTACATGTTTCAGTTTGCAAATGCGATGTTGGTGTCAAATTCATATATCAGGTCATAGTTATGTTGAAGTCGGTCTCTAGCAGAGAGTTCAAAACAGTTACAAGTTGTGGGTTGGATGAGTTTCAGAATGAGATATACATAGTCATTTAGGTGCTAGTCATGCAGCCTTCTAGGTCTGAGGTTAAGTTGTGTATTTTATGTTTGAATAAACCTTTTTTCCCTCGTATATTTCGGACCACATTTATATTTGAGTTCACAAAGCTAGTCCTCTTTTGTCATTGCGCTGTTTTTTTGTTTGTTTTTTTGGTTTTTTTTTTAAGAAAGATAAACTAAGAATAATTTAAAGAATTTCAAAAAAAAGAATGTTTTGTGCAGATGATGTCATCACTGTGAGGGTCACACCCCCCCTCTCCAGACCCGAGGAACAGGCTCCCTGCTCTTCCTTCCCACTGTGCTAGTGCCATCTGCAGAAACAGTGTGATTGTATATATTTTTTTTCCAGGCGACTGCCAAACATGTCTGTGTGTGTGCTGGGAATGATCTTGGCTAGTTCACTATTAAGCTACGGCTAAACTTTGTATATGGATGCCTTCCAAGATCCACCACCTCTACTCCCCTTGGCCAGCGTCCAATTTACATAAGCAAGTGTTGTCTTTCCAATGACCATGAGGCACCAGCCACTGTGAAGTTAGGCCGTGCTTGTTTGAGGAGACGGGTGGGGGTGGCTCCTGGTGTGTGTGATAGACACTTGCAACTTTTATTTATATACTCTCTTCGCACTCTACTTTTGTCTTGCAAACATGGCTCTGTAGCTTGGAAGCCATGGAAAGAAAATGGATAAAAGCGACCTTTGGAACATTAGTTGAACACAGCATCAGCAACAGGGCTGAGATATCTATTGGCCTGGATGCAAAGTCATTATCAAGCTTAGCAAGCCAACTCAGTTGCATAATACCAGTATACATTCCAAGTAGTGCTGCTAAAACAAACCAGAGAGAAAAAATTTAAGCCCTTCTAATGCCGTCAAATTCTTGTCATGGATTACACAGGAGTGTCAGTCTGGAATCTATTTGGCCACAACACGCCCCTATAACCTAACAAACCTTCAGTCGACATGTTGGCACTGTGCCTGCAATACATCTGACAAATTGGTGTTGCTGCCTAGTTAAGCTTCACACTGCAGTTCAGGTGTCTCAGTTACTGTAAGTCTAATTATAGACAGTCAGGGATAATGACTGCTCTGTGTGTGCACGCAAGTTTCTCAGGAGATTTAAACAAGGCTTTAATTTGCATTGTAACACAATTGGAGGCTCGGGGTGAGATTTAGAGATTAGTTACTGCACAGAGGAGATGTCTACCAGTGACGGTGCGTGGTTCAGTGGGTTTAGCTTATAGAGATGTGGGATGTAAGGCCATCTGATGTCACATCTGGGCTAGTCTCTGTTCCACTAGCGCCAGTAACTCAATACAATCGCTCAGTCAGCATTTCTTTCACGGGTCTGAAAAAAATAAAGCCTGTTCCTGGGGGTTACTTTTTCATGGGTGAGTCAAATTGGTATCCAATATCATAACTTTAACAATTACTTTGGAATCTCAGGCAGAATAAGAAAATGAGCTCAGTAGAGCGCATACCTCCATTAAGGCCACTGACAAACAACATACACCGAACTTCACAGGAAAAATTTCAAATTTATATTGAATGATGTCTATCTGCCCCAAAATTGAACAGGTTGCTCTCTGGCTCAGAACACATCCCTCCACCAAGTTCGGCGAAAAATCGGTTTAGTATTTTTTGCGTAATCCTGCTGAAGGACAAACAGACAAACAAACAGACATGGGTGAAAACATAACCTCCTTGGCAAAGGCAACTACAGCTCCCATGAAAAAAACAAGTGCAGCAATCTGAGTACTTGTGTCATTGTAGCTTGGTTTCATCCATGTCCATAAAACTCATCAACACTCTCTATTAGAGTCATTTTTTTCATCCCTGTAGTTTGGATCTCTGCTGTTTATGAACTTCTTAGAAGTTTTTTCAACTCACTACCAGTGAACATTTGAGCTCATGGGAAATGGTGTTTGCTAAACATGTAAAACGAGCCACACACACATACACACATACCTTTGAGCTCTGTTCCGAGGCTGGATTTTTAATTATTAGGGCAGTTATGAATGTCAGTGGCATCTTTAATGTCTTTTTTCTTACTTTTGGAAAAGCACCTGGAAGTTCTGGTTTTACTACACGTCAAGCATGAGTCATTAAAATGAATAAACCAGCAATTATGTCACATTTACGTCAGAGAGCTTTATTTGAGGACGAGGCAGTCATCCTGAAATCGGTTCTTATTGAAGTCATACCGAAACTGTTTGGTTTGAAACTTTTTACTGTAATACTGAAAAGACTGTTTAGCAAATGTCTTTGTGTTGTTCCAGTAATTTGTCTCGTTTTCCATAAAGATAGGATATCTAGGAATTTACCAATTTGGTATTTTATTGGTTTTTGAAACGAGTGATTTCTTTCTGGTGAGAACATGTTCTTGACATTCAAGCCCTTGTCTGCAAATATTTTTGGGACATTGTAAATGGAAAATACTTCACTGATCAGAGAAGCAGCAGCACAATCAAATTTTTTTCAGTTCAATGTCCAAACGGCTTTCATGCCTCGTAATGTCATTACAACCTGCCACTGAGGCTGTCTACGCCCATAAACCAACCCTCTTCACCTGACCTTGAATTTGTCCCAAAAGTCTTCATATTTACACGCAGCCATCTTCACATATTTTGTCTCTCCCTCCCTCTCGCTCTCTCTTTCTCTCTCTCTCTCTGTACACATTCCAGCTCATCTCCCAGAACAGGAGAGAGCAGCAGTTCTGCAGTGCCGGGCCAATCCAAGCCCAGTGGGCAGACCCACAAGATCTGTCTGGTGTGTTCGGACGAGGCCTCAGGATGCCACTATGGGGTCGTAACCTGCGGCAGCTGCAAGGTGTTCTTCAAGAGGGCCGTGGAAGGTTGGTCGGACTTCTCTGCATCTACTCCCTCAGTCACTCACTCACTCAGTCATTCACTCACACATGACACACTATGATGGCAGATGATAGTATTTACACAAATCTTTGTGAGGACAAAGTTTAAGAACAAAAAAATGTGCTTTTGTTTGAACTGTTTTCCTTTTGAATCTATGAATCATGGCTACTTGTAATCAGATTTGTTTATACATGTCCATTATTCTATATTATGCCTCCACAACCTTGTACATTTGCACTTTTACGCAATAGTTAACATCCATTACATTTTGTTCCAAAGATTCTCTTTCATTGGAATTACATAAGGTCAGCTGTTGTAGCTGTTGCGCAGGAGAGAAACATCTCTGCTTTTTTCTCTTTTCTTAGGAAGCAAAGAAAATTAAATCATGTATCATAATTCAAGGTCAGAGTGGAATAGTAGAGGGTTTTTGTCGAGCTTTAGTAGAACACACATCATGTAGTTGCATTTTTGTGGATTTGTGCATTTGAATCTTAGTCCTTGACATTGCATGTCACCACCGACCTCTTCTCTTGCCTTTCCTGTTTGTCATGTATCAAAGCAGAGATGACTTATAAATAATTTTGATCAGTGCCAAAATATTTTGGAGGAAAAAGCCTGCTCCAAAAAATATTACTACCATGATACCTTTCCATTTAACATAGCACTGCCTTATAGAGTATTATCTTAAGCTTGTAACACAGCCATTCTTCTGCTTTGCTTCACAAACATTTGACACCTGGTAATGCACTATTCATTTCTTGTCTCAGGCAAGACGTTTGTGTCAAGACGTTTGTCTTGAAACTAATTGCCTTGACAAAATCTCGTGACGGGAGGGGCAGGAATGCATCTGACAAACGGAAAGTAATTTGTGTTAAAGGCTTTCCACCATGCATTCCACCGCCCTCTGCTTCTCTCTATTATGGATTATTATTGCATATATAGTCCTCAACAATGCACAGGTACTCCCTAGATGAACAGTGACTAAACCACCCTATTTATTATTGTCCCAGCACTGGTACTAAATGCACAGAAATTACCCACTCTAACCTCGCCCCCATGTCCCAGTTAGAAGACTGACAGCATTTTTTTTTTTTTTTCATTCAGTTCCTACATCCACTCTCTCTTTCTGTCTGTTTACCCTGTATCTGTAGCTAACATTGCTAGTGATATAATACAGGAAGAGAGAAACTTACTGTAGGGAAATCATTACTCTGAATGTAAGGTGATGGTGTGAACATGGATTGTTTGACTTTTGCAACAGTTCAGGACTAAAACATGCCTGGTGGTTAATAATGTAAACTTCTGAAGACATTTTTATTTCCTGCATACAATAAAACATTTATTTGAGGCTACTATTCCTGTAGAAAATATATGTAAAAACAATGATAGAGAAAGTGTAAATGTATAAATATAAACTGACTTAACTTGATATGAGCTGCTACAGTTAATTTCTGGACTTGTATGATTGCCAACTGTTATCTAGCATTTTAGCTTCTTACTCTGTGGTGCTGGCGTAATTCCCAAGCACTCGAACGGAAGTGTGCTTTTTTTATTTTGAAAAGACCTGCCTACAGTAGCACTGAGATCTGTTATTCTTGTTTTTCTCCCCCTCCTCTCCATTCTCCGGTCGTTGTCTCTATGGTGAAGGATGGAGAGCACGACAAAACACAGATGGTAAATAAATGCACTTTTAATAATAATGATAATAATTGTAATTATGATGATGATGATGATGATGATTATGATGGAAAAACTATCACCTCTGATTTGCCCATGTCCCTGTATTCGTTCAGCACTAAAATATGACCAATCTGCCTAGACACATGTATAGCATCTTCTGCCAACTATCTGTTAATGCATGCAAATGTTCAGATTTGGTGATTTAAATCAGCGTAAATTGCCTGTGAGTGGTGATTTTTTTTTTTTTTTTTTTTGGCTCTTCAATTTCTGCTTGGAATGCTCAGCCTCATCATCCTTGCAGGTGCCAGCGCCAATAATTGCAATCACACCTTGTCACTAATTAGGCCTCTTAGTTTGCACTTGACCCACATTAACCCCCTGAGATCTGATGTCAGAAATCACCCCTCCAGTTTTTTTTTTCCTTCCTCTTGTGTTGTTCATGTGTCTTTACTCAGTGTGTTTCACTGTCTCTGCAGATGACAGTATTCAGGCCATGTCCTGGTTTCTGTTCAAGCAGTGAGAGACATGCTGAGGGTGCCATGTTTTCCTAATGTCATGCGTATTAGCATAGCTTTTAACATCATTCTGCTGGACTGATCATCTGATATCAATTTATTTGAACTTCAATTACTGATTGTAGTCTAAACTAACACGACGCCACGTCCTGTGAAAACCATGCATCTCCAAAATGTCAGCTTTTTAAAAGCTAAAAACAGCAGCCCTGTTTCAGCTTTGTGACTATCCATTTTTCAGATGATCCCGTTGTTTTTCAAATGGTTTATTTAGCTCACAATGTAAATAATAAATAAATGAACTAATACATTTTAGTTGAAATGTGCTCCAAAACATATCATAGTGTTGGAAAGGTGCTGTGAAAGGCTTTTGTGAAACAGACACAAGCAAGCTCCCGATTCCTGCCATTAGCTGAGACAGCGAACGCAACGAGGGTGTGGGTGAAGTGCTGGGTGGAGCATAACACAGCGAGGACAGGGAGGGGAGGATGGGAGTTGAGGGAGTTGCTTTCAAGTCTCATGCTGGTGCTAGATTGATGTCAGGAACTTGCATCCTTCATTTTATCTGAAAAACTCAAAATCAACAAATTTGGAGATACAGTGCATGGTTTTTAGAAGACAGTTACAATTATAATTAGTTTACCCAATTAGTGAGACCCACGTTATACGTCAAAAGCATAATGTTGAAGCCACAGGTTTAAATGTTCCATGGCTTCAGTTGTTGCCGAACTTTAGAAAATAAAGTAACAAATGGCCACTGATGTGGAATAATAAACCCGAGGGACTGTGTGTCTGACACAGATCACTGACCCTTTAAGTCCTGGAGCATCAGCTTTCATTTCTCAATGTAATCCCCTTCAACAGCCTTAAATAGCACAGCTATCTTAAATAAATAAGTGAGCACACTTGAGTCTAAGATCATAAATATTAGGTTTCGCCGGTAAGTAAATATGATATCATCAATATAATCACTTTCTGTTTCTGCACAATTTACTTTTTAACAGCACACTGACATACTGTAACTCTTAACAGGAGTATTTGTTTTGTTTATTTCTAAGACCTATTTGAAATAGATAAGAAAATGTACATTAATTGTCTGTAAACTTTTTTTTGCAGTAATGCCTGTTCACATAGGTTTCCACAGCTACATTTGCAACAATTCTCTAGAGTCTAGACAGACAGTGGCACACATCAGTTCCTCCAGGACTGTAGACTCTAGCAAGGTGTTGAAACAGTGGTTTAATGGTACCTTTTTAGACCAAAATACATTTCTAAAATTGCACAGCAGTTATGTTTTTTTGTGATTGCTGCATGGAAGAAAAACATGTAGTTATAGGGGGAAAGAGCTTTGATCGTGTGCCATGAGAGAACCTTTTTTTCCAAATGATTTAAATTGGTTAGGAGGCCTTGAATTAAAATGAGATCCCGAACTGACTAACAGACTAAAAATTTAAGTGATTTTTCACATTATCAGGTTATAATTTCATTGTTTTTTTAATTATTCAGCAAAAATACTTCACATATACAGGTAGTTGCTTGTTTTTTAATTGGGAGCCAGCCAGATTAAATAACAAAAGATTTACTGCTGGATTAAAAGACCCTGGTCAGGTTCAAACTCTGAAACTCCTCTCTTTGAGTTGATCTTGTTAACCGCTGCTCGACATGCTAGTATTAGCAACAAACCCGGTCAGAGGGTTCACCAACCAATGCTGACGGCTGCTACCAGGTCCTTGTTAACGGATTAGGGCAGGATAAGGGAGAGAGGATATCAGTGGGAATCAGCTGGCACTTTTGACACCACAGATGGCTGTTTACGCCGTTGTTTGCAATGACTTCCTGTGATATCAGTGATGGCTGCAACTGACAGACCCCAGGCTGCTATCTTGTCATCACACCTCCGACCCTGCAGATTAATTTCCAGTCTATGTGGAATATGGTTATTCTTGAGTTTCAAAAGTGATTTTCTCCGCGATATTGAGAAACATTGCCTTTGCCACTAACATATTCAGTATATGAATTTGGCATTAAGTAAATAACAACACTGCTTTGTTACATTAGTCCACACTATATATCTCAGTGTTACTTATTTTAGTTTTACACTTCTATGTTAAACTACTTCTGCTCCATCTCGATTGCAAAAGGTATTTAGCTTCAGCTGCCATCAACACAGGGCGCTGCTGCTCTGAAGCATCATTAAACTGAGCTAATCATTTGCTTGATGTCCCAGATTCATTTTTGTTGCAGGTACTCATAGTGCGTCTATTGAGGCTGCTGTATTAGCCTCTATAGTCATTTGCTTGTGAGCATACAGGAGAAGAACCAAATGGCGTGAAGCACTGCATGATGGAGGAAATGAAGCGTAGATTATATATATTATTTTTAGTCACTGTTTATATCATTCTGATATATTTTTATCAAATTGTGATGATACACGCACAGTGTCACTGTCAGCTGGTCACTCACTGTCATTCTCCTTTGCTTGGCATTGTCTGTTGCTCACTATCCTCTACACTGCAGTGTATTTACTCAAATACTGCTTGCTGTTTAGCTTTAGACGAGCATCTTAAATGTTGCGTAACGCTGAAAAAAAATGAGGAGAAAATATTAACGGTTAACAGCTCACATTAATCCTCCATTCGTTCCCCCCAATAGCAAACACAAAACACTTAAAGTAACATTAATGTTACATCCGCATCCACAGACCCATGATAAGGGCGTGTTAGCTTACAATTGCACTTATAAATATGATTCTCATAAATATACATCATTTTAATATGCAGCACAATATGCTGCTGTTATGTCCATGCACCTCTAGGGGAAAAAAATACACACCATGCAGTTTTATTTCCACATTCTATTACATGGCGCCAGCAGTATTATTGAATGCCCTTTAGTTCAAAAAGCTGCATTAAACATGTGATATTTCAGATCAGTCGAGACAAAGATCAGTAACACAGTTTATGGTCCCAAAGGGCATTTTGTCAAGGCAGTGTTGACTTTGTATAAGGTCTTATTTCAGCCGATGATGTTTCCCTGTTCTCATGCAAAAACACTTCTCAGTGTGTGTCTACAGAAAATTAAGGGTTGTTGGAGAGTGGCAGAGGCAGAACAAGTGAAGTGTTTATTGTGTCATCCAGTGTGATGATCTCTGCATCAATTTAGAATATAGTGCCAAGCCCCAAAAACATGAAAAGGCTGCAGTTATTTATTGAAGAATCTGCTTTTGCTTCTCCTCGCAAAGCAATAGCTGTGTAGATCTGCTCCCTAATGAATAATGTTATTATAACAGAAGAGACTAATGAGCGGGTCTTCCACCTTACTTTTCCATATGTGCAGTAATTGATGATGGGGGCGTATGTTATAATTTAGTCATCCAGTCGTCCAGAAGGGGCATATGCTCTTTAATAAGACGTGCCGTTGAACTTCATATTTTTCAGTGGAAGAATGCAACCCCTATGGGAGTGTTGTGATGTGTTTGTGGTTTTCATGTCGCAGAGCTTGAGCTGAAAAAGTTTAAAATAGTTTATAGCCTTAGGTGAAATCCAGCACAGATCACCTATCGGTTTGGTAGCCAGTGGGTCTGGAAAAAAACAAACAAAAAAAAAAAACAGTTTTGTTTTACTTGTTTGTTTTTGTTCTCGCGTCTCATCTCTTTTTCTCCACTTTTCCAAAGTCTATAGCAGCATAGCTTCAGTTTGACCTGCATTTCTCTGTCAGACAGGGACCTAAGTAAGCCTTTTATAAATCCAAAAGCTGAAATTACTCTGTAACTACACGCCATGACAACAGTATATCTCTGCTAACATCCTGTTAACAGTGAACGGTAACTAAAGTGTGAAACGGGTGAATCTTTTTTAACTGGCAGATAAGGGTTTAGTGACAAGTCTTTCTAAATCACCGCCTTCGGTCTGTTTTCCACAGCGTTACATGATCTGAACAGCAGATGTGAAGTGGGTTAGTGACTCATCTAGCACATCAGTTGTGATTCTAGTTAATCGTGACAGTTGGATTTCATAGAACCTCTGTGATTGTGAAACCTAGAGAATGACCATGGCATGTTTGGCATGTTGCTATGGGACATCCCCTCATTAATTTTGTCCATTGGATTGATTATGCCGCAGCCTGAACTCAAGAGAATGTGTTGATGCTCGAAAGATGAGATTCATGTGACATTCCTCAGGCTCTGTCACACAAGTACTGTATGTGCTAAAAGCAAGACACTGCCCTCTGGGCCAGGGTACTCCTACTGAACTGATGTTGTAACATGATGTAAAATAAATCTTCCAGGCTGGACCATAAAGTAAAACTGCTGCAGCCCCCAGTGTGAGGTCAGGGTGCCCTGCCAAGGACACTATGATGTTGCAGTTTGTTTTTTTTGTTTTTTTCAGCAGTGGTGGTGTTGTGTGCGCATTCATGCATGTAACAATGGAGGAATAGCTTAAAATGACCCTAGAATTGTTATAGATATGGTCATTCGTGTTCACCTTGTCGTGTGTTTTTGACACTTGAAGGGCCCTGGAGGCTCAGATAACTGTAGTAATAAATGTCGACACAGAAAATGACTTACACTGTTTTTATTGAGCATAAATGAAAATAAATAATATAAACGTGACAAGCCAGTCTTCCAGACTCCTCTGAAAATTCAAATATAATTTGACTAACAAGATAAGTGAACGGGACAAAGCTGCACCAGTTCAGTCTAACTTTTTAAATCTTTGAAGTTGGCACTGCACATGATCAGGATATTAATTTAAATTTTGAAAAATTAAACATTGCATTTTTCATCAGATGATGGTGACTCATTCATTTGCACATCACTGGTGCATGTGTATGCAAGCAAAACAAAACATTTTTGCTTGATTAATCCTCAAGCGTGTTACACATCTGATAACTAAATTGTGATAACTCGAGAAATAATGAAGCACAGATGTTTGTTTTGTTTGCACAAATGTGCACAAACGATGTGCAAATGGAAGAGACCACTTTGGAGTCACTTGGGCATCAATGTTGACATAATAAGACTGCTCTTAAAATTGAATTTCTCAAAAATGGTTCGAAGACAAATTGTTACTGTCTGCACAAACGATCTCAAACTGTTTCATTCGTATCCTGATCAGGTGGGGTTGCCAACTTCTCTCAGGTGCAATGTTTGCACAAGATTCAGTAGTATTCCCTACAGATGTGATTAATTTTGTACGCCATCTGTTTAATTAGACGCCCAAACTGAGTAATTGATGCCAAATGTGCAGGTATTACGACAATGTCCGCAATAGGCAGCCCTGCATAGCCTAACTGGAGTAACTAATTGTGTAGCTTGGCTTGTAACAACCACTTCACCATGGACATTCAGAATTGTTCACTTTGTGTAACTCACTTCTGGTACTTAGGTCATATTTCTACTGCCATTGCCAAAGAAGTTAGCTTCGTAAAAGTCTTTCCATTAGGAGAGGTAGATCAGTCTACCTTGTCGTCGTATGCCACTTATCCAGCTGCTATGTTGGCATCGCTTTGTGTTTGAGAGTGTTTGTTTGTGAGTCTCACACTGGCCTCAGTCAGCTGCATGCAGTGTAGAAAGCTCAAGTTGCGGTGGTTACGTTAAATTGTGAATATTAATGAACCATGTGAAATTTCAGCAGCGGTGCTCAGAATGTGTGTGTGCACAGGGGGAAACGCTGTCTTGTGTGTATTCATGAGGGAATATTAATGTGAACGAGTGTAAAATCCTTCTCAGGCATGTTCCCCTGTATAACAAATGCTATGCATGTATTTTGGTCCAGCTGACTCATCAGGAGGCAAATTTAAATCTGTCTTAAGAAGATGACAGCTCCACAGCTTGATCTCAGTAATGAGGCGACGACGATGGAAAGAAAGCACAAGGCACATCAAACATATAAACATATAAACATATAACAGCAGGATTCACTTTCATGCTTCCTAAAATAACAGCAGTCGCTGTGAAGATCGCATCTCATCCGGGTTTGCACCACAGAATGTAATAAATGACCCATCTGACCAGTGCGGGAAAGCAGGAGGATGATATAGAGGCTGATCTACTCATAGTCTTGAACCGTCATTATTTTTAGATGGACAGGGTTTTCGGTTTACTGTATCCTTGTTTGGGTCATCATGACAAGATAAGGTCACATTAACCTGCAAGCCTCTGTTCCTGCCTCTGCTGGTAAATACATTCATAAGGGGAAAAAGTGCATCCATGTTATGTTTAAAAATATGCACAAGGGTGTGCTCAGCTCTGTTGCACCTGCAGCCGCAACCCAGCAGTGACATCACATTGTACTGACACAACCTGGAGTACAGAACGGTACAGTGAGAGGAAATGAGCACAGCGAACACAAGCGTTTGAAGCGGTGTTACAGAGTTTCACTTTATATTCATCTGTTTCCTTAGTGCTCTCTTAAATGAATTTTTTTTTTTTTTTTTTTATTAAATTGTAAGATGGAAACTATAATTAGCTGTGAAATTCTTCTGTTATGATCCTGTGGTATGACAGTTGAAGCTGTGTGGCACATGCAGATCTGGAGGTTAACGGACTGGTGGTATTCTGTATTTTTTCTTTATCGCCAACAAACCCCATGAAAACACCAAAACCAACAAAATATTGATCCCACTACCAAGGTTTGGCCTTGTAGCCAAAGTCTGATAGAGATTATTCCTCTCTGCCATAAAGCTCCATTGTTGTCCAAAATCTATCAAAAACACATGAAGGAACCTCTCTGTTGCACTGACTAACATGTTCCTTCAGTCCTATGAACGCAGCCATTGTAGTTTATTTTTAGTCGAGCCCACGTACGCTGTCCTGCTGCTGTAAATACTCAACAGAGCAACAATTCTGTGGCTTAAAAAAGTCCCCTATTTCTTGAGTAGCATTTGCAAAAAACGACAAGTTGTTTTTAAGAAATTACATAACTTTAAAAAAAAAAAATGAAATCATTCATTTATTTACTATTTTGAAAGATTTATGTCCTCTGTAGGAATTACTGAGCTTTGGGCAGAAAGCCACAGGTGGGGTCGGGAAGTTGGAGAGTATTGGGAGACAGACTAATGCATTGTTGGGGTTTGTCTTTGCATCCGATTTGATTAAATTTGCTCCTGTGAATAGCGCTGCTTGCATATCACTGACAAACATTTCAGCTAAAAATGTTTGACGGAATCAACTCAAAAGTTCTTCCCTCTGGTCAAATACTGTATTTGCCTCTTTTTAAAATGAAATGAATCTTATCCCAGTTTCACATGTGGTTTATTTTCCCACATCCTAGTTATATAGGGTATTGATTCTCGGCTAGCAAGAGCGTTATTATGAGAAAGGGAAAGGGTTCTTGCTCTGTAGTCAAATGTGGACCGTTGAGATTCTAGTTCATGGGCCACAGTAGGAATGTTAGCCACGTGGATCACATCTGATTGTCGAGCTAAAACGGCTCCGTTGACAATCGTGGCTTGTGCCATGTGTTCCGAGTGCAGACTTGAAGAAGTGAAGCTGTCAACACCAGAGGAAAAGCACAGGCTTCTCAGGCTTAGTGTAGAATCAACAGGTGGTTAGTGTGGTCATAATACATACTGCTCAGACTAATCCATCTCAAACCTACTTATGTAGCTAATATGTCTGTCTCCCTTTTCCCCCTTCTCCGTCGTCTCCCTCTTCTCTTCACAGGACAACACAACTACCTCTGTGCGGGGAGGAATGACTGCATCATAGATAAGATCCGCAGGAAGAACTGTCCAGCCTGCCGCTTCAGGAAATGTCTTCAAGCCGGAATGAACTTGGAAGGTAAACAGGCTGACCCATCTTTAAATCAGTCCCGGCTGCATTCAAAGACACCACACACTCACAACCTCACTTTAAAGTCACAGTGAAATGGAAGTCAGCGTGGATTTAGCTTTCCCTAGAAGACGCACAGTATTTCCGGGTGAAACGGAATATGTGAGCAGGGCGTAGTTGGCGAGACAGGGGTTTGATTGACTTGATTGGATAACTCAGAAGGTGAGCACGGCTTAGCAGATACAGAGCAACATGTTGAGGACCTCTTTGGCCTCAACCCACACCACCCACAATGAACACATTAGACCTCAGCCACAATCTTTTGAAATGTAAACTGTTCTTGCCAACTGACCTCCTAAATCTGCACATTTATGTGATGGGCTGGGTTAGCCACTCGCCCCAAATTACATTTGACTGGATAAATTTCTGCATGCACACTCCCGAGATCATCAGGATGAGTCTTCAAAAGTATTTTAACATTTTACAGGAAGACGAAAGAGGATTTTGTAATGAAAATAATTATTTCGACACTTTTGCTATGTACCAATAGATAACGGAGCAGTTTTGTTTTGTTTTTTCTTTTTTTTTTCTTTCAATGTGTCTTTAATATGTAGTGAATGCTCTGCAATCCTTAAAACAAATACTATATGAAGAAATTCCCCTTGATTGACTCCCATGTCAGTGGCACCGTGACACTGTCACCCATTCTTTTCCACTATGATCTTCAGTATTTCTGGTTTTGTTTAACTCAGCAGCACCCACCCACGCTCGTTTAATGATAGCCTAATAAAACACATCATAAGAAATACAATTACTGGAATAATAAAACTGTTTTGCAATGTTTATTTTCAAGCTTTTTGTTGGTGGGATGAAACTGGAGTTTATTTTGTATTTGTTGTTTCAACAGTGAGACTGAGCAGTATGGGAATATGACATGATACAAAATTTGACATCTCACTCTGAAATAAAACTACCAGTGTGTATGAACAGAGAAAGGGGCGGGGGGGCATGCATACAAATATTAAACTAAACCATAATCATTGCTGTGAATATATCATACAGCATCAAAACCTGTCCCGCACATCACTGAAGCATACTTTATCTCACATCTCCTCCTTTTACTCTCTATCTGGAAAAGTCTCCGCCATTCTGTTCCATTCGCACCTCTTACATCTTATGTAATGCTCCAGTGCCCGTAGGAATATTGTTAGGGTCTTATTCCTCTTAGATCTGCGATTTTATTTGTCAAAACAGTGACAATGACAGAGACAGGGATGAAAACAGATCACCTGCAGGCCCTGAAAATCCTTTTTGAATTTGTGGTGTTGATGGCTTTGAGGTATGTGGATTTGAGAAAGAAAAAACAAGAAAAGCTGAAAGTGAATAAATGGCCTCTAGTCTAATACAGTGGCAATACTCAGCAGTACGCCACAGCTCTTTGGAAAATGTGTCTTCTTGAATGTGAGCACAGATTCTCCACAACAATAGAGCAACAATATGGACCTTGGGGAAAAAAAAAAAAAAAAAAAAAAATCACTGACAGTTCTTGAAATTTATGTACAAGTCCTCCTGAATGTTGCGTGGCTGCAGTGAGAATCGACTGGTGTTAGTCACTCATGTGGGAGCATGTGCCGTTGTCTATGAATGTGCTGCTCTGTACACGTGTGCCGGTGCACCATGTCCTCACACACAATACTGAATGCGTAATCCACTGTCAAGTCCAAGTCCACAGCCCCGGGATCACCTCGTGATCTTTCACCTGATTCTGCTTCAAGGGATAAATGTTAAGGACAGGGTATAACAGTGAAGGTGTGTCAGGGTTAAGGAAGATGGACATGGGAAGCAACAGGTGAAGTTCAACAGGGGCTGTAAGTGCTTGGAACTTGGTTCTTGTGTTATTTCATCTGATGCTCCCTTAGGGCATGTACAATCAGTGTTGTGTGAGATTCCTTTCAGACAGTGCTGTGTTTGTCAGACAGAGGTGAAGGTAGTTGCACAGGAGAGGCAGAGACCGAAAGAGAGAGAGAGAGAGAGAGAGAGAGAGAGAGAGAGAGGGATTTGATGGACGTCAGTGCATCAGCAGACAAACTCCCACCAGAAAGGCTCTTAGTTGCCATAGAAACACCAGGAGAGGAAATTAAAAAAGGTAGAGAGTAGGGGAAAAAAACGTTTTTTCATGGTAACCTCTCAACTCCTGATATGTTTTGCACATTTAGTGGGAGAAAATGTCAAAATGATGCCCACGTAATCCACGTAGTGCGAGCAAAAACATAACAATTTGCCAAAGCATGCATATGTGGACAAAGTCCTCTGAGAAATGGTGTAGTTTTGTGGACTGTGTCTTGTTACACACAAACTAGCATGATGCATTCTTCTGACCTTTTCTAGGCTTGTCAGAACTCATGGATTTCAAATTCATAACAGCCACTTCCTTTTATTGTTGATATTGTTGCTGCTGTTTGTTTTCAATTAATTATTTTCACATTTAATTAATTAAATTAATTGTTTCAATCACTGGTGTAGTCCTTTTGATTTTTACATTAGTGTTAAACGATGAGGTGGGGTCAGGCCAAGCATGTAAAAACAGCTGAGGTCGGAGACCAGGGGAAGATATGATGAATGGGATTTTTTTTTTTCTCCCTTTGATTTAGTGAGTTACTTCTCGATGCAGTGTAACACACATGCCCTGTATATTTGCTTCTAGATTACTGTGTAAGAAATTATTTAAACCAAGTAAATTTGATTGAGTCATTGTGGAAAATGGAAACGGGCTTGAAAATGATTTTTATGGCCCTATATACTGGCATGAAACCAAAGTGCCACTCATAAAGAAAATCTGTTATAGTGTGGAAAATGCATACTTTAATGTGAACCAAGAATCAATTGACATAGCATATTTAAAATGCATTTAATTTTTAAATGTGATATTAGCGATAGTTGTTTACACGTGGTGTGCCAAGGTGAGGTGTATAGCTTGTGCCGTGTAAAAATAATAGTGCATTATTCACACAGACAATGTAGTTTTTATTTCATGTGGTGTGCTATTGCGCTACATGCTGTATTTCTGTATTTGGTGATGTTTAGAGCTGAATCAATCAGCCAGAAAATGAATAGCAGCTGTAACTATTTTGATTGTTCCGGCCCCTCTGATGGAAAGCTTTGTTGCTTTTCTCTGTTTCATAACATTATACTGTATGTCTTTGGGTTTTCCACTGTTGATCAGACTAAACAAGACATTTGAAGACGTCACCTTGGTCTGTGGGAAATTGTGATGAAAAGTGTAATCCAACTGTACCAAGCAGTTTGCTGCTTTGATCTTTCACTTATTCTATTAACTATTCTCCGTTGTTTTGAATGTAGTTGGTTGTAAAATCAGAAATCATAGAATTTTTGCATCTACTTTATCCCAAATTAGAATTACCGTCTTGTGGTTGTATGCCTCCACCAACCAGCCAAGCTGCAGGAAATATGGTCACAATCTCATCCTTCCTGAGTTACAGCATTTAATAATGGCCGGGAGTGGCCGTTATTAAATGCTGTAACTCAGGATGTTTTTATAGAACATTATGATGTCACAGTGAAGTTGACCTTCGACCATTTGGCTATACAATGTCATCACTTCATCATTTAGCCTATTAGAACTTTGCTTTAAATTGTGTCATGGTCAGCATTTACATTTTTGAGTTATGGCCAAATGTGTTTTGTGAGATCACAATGATCTTCACCATTGACCACCAAAATCTAATCAGTTCATCCTTGAGTGAAAGATAAATTTGAAGAGGGGCGGATGGAGGGACAACCTGAAAACATAAAGAGTAAAAAAAACAGACAAAAAAGAAACACTACCTCTGCTCACTTTCTCCCTTCTGTTTCATGTGTCCTTCCCTCCCTTTCTATTCCTCTGCCCCCCCCCCCAGCAAGGAAAAACAAGAAGCTGATCAAGATGAAAGTGCCCCGGCCCCCTGGATCATCCGAGCCCATCAGCAACATGCCTGTTCCAGTCATCCCCAGGTGCATGCCCCAGCTCGTGCCCACCATGCTGTCAGTGCTCAAGGCCATCGAGCCGGAGATCATCTACTCGGGCTACGACAGCACACTGCCCGACACCTCCTCACGGCTCATGACCACTCTCAACAGGTTGGGGGGACAACAGGTCATCTCTGCAGTCAAGTGGGCCAAGTCACTGCCAGGTAACAAAAAGCCATGTGTTGCCTTTGGTTTTGTCTTGGTGCACTGCTCAAGCAAAGTGTCACTGGCAGTAGTAGCAGCTTCTTCAAATGAGTCTCATGTGTAGTGAAGTGAAACAAATCTGTGATGGAAAACAAAGACACGCATGTTCATTTGTTACTTTTAATACATGCAGCTGGTCAAGGAAGTTACATCACTTTTAGATAAAAAAAAAAGAAAAAGGGAACATGTCCTTGGTTGCACACTGCAACAATTGCAGACTAGACATTTAGTGCACAATGGCAAAGCTTTCACTTTTGCCCCCCAGGTTAACCAAGCATCTGCTTGTTACCATTCCTCAGTGAAAGTAAAGAACACAATTAACCAGAAGTTAACCTGCGAAGTAATCCAAACTATGTGACCATTCCTGTGGAGAAACATAACTTATATAAAATTCAAAATGTCAGAGTTCATTCTTGTGGTTAGAGCGGTTGATAAGACATAACTCTTGTCAGATTGAAAACGTGGATATGGCTCTTCAATTTCGGGCTGCGGCTTCTGTCTGATCAAGTGGAATCATGCAGTTAATGAGAAGCAAAGGAGGAAGAAGGGGCCAATTTGTAGCAGAGGTTCATCACTTTGCTGCTTGAATCACGGTTAGGCTCATAGGCAGTTAGTTATGTTAATTAATGCAATTGTGGCCTCCCACTTTAGACACAAAAACATTACAAAAAGTAAATGTACATATATATTTTTTTTTCACAAATGATTCCTCTTGGCAGTAGAGCCCAAGAGCAACAGACGTTCAAAAACCATGTAATAAAATGTGTGACCTCTGTAATGGCTGACAGAAGAGTAGAGCAATCATGGCTTATGAAAGAACAATTCACTTCAGGCACCCCACCTCTTCAGAGTATTTAGATTTTGATCAGGCCATGACGAAGGTTAATGTCCTTTTGAATGTGCATAGACAATGTCCCTGATGATGTTCCTACAACCTGTTAAAAGTCATTAGTGCTGTTAAGCAAATGTTCCTACAAGCGAGTGGAAATTTCAGCTTTTTCATCTCAGAGCAGTAAAAATCACTGCATCCATCGTCAGCGTCGACTCGGCTTACTTGAGCGTAAAATGATTGCGTCAGTTTCTGGGTTATTTCATCTAACAGTGGCACATTACTGAGAGACTGTCAAATGAGGAGGAAGGTAACATCATCACTGGTATTGGACTAAACATGATTCCTTTGGGATTGAATTCATAAAGGGATATATTTATATTTTACTGTTCTCCCAAGTAACGTAAATTCCTCTTATAAACATCAAATAAGAAGATAATTGCTGGGTTTGAGGACTACACAGTTTCCATTCCACAAAAACAAAAATGGAAACAGAGTTTGGAATTTTTTTTTTTTTTTTTTTTTTTTTTACCACCCATTCTAATAGTTTCTAATCATGAGAAAGGAGGCACATGACTTGATAATCGCTCCAAGTATTTGCTTTGAGATTTTCTCTTCCCACTCTAATTGTTGCTATCGGTCATACCAAAGATGCAAGATCAGATTTCTCAGGAAAAACCATAACACTATTTTTTTTTTTTTTTTTTCGTGATTTCCGTGTGTGACAGTTTGATGAGGGACAAATCTGGCTCCAGTCTTGTTGTGTGTGCATTGTCCACAGCTGGCAGCCTGCCAAGGTGGTAGTGAGAAAAAGCTCTAAGGGAGGAGGGGAGCGCTCTTACATAACAGCCATGGTTTAAAACAAATGTAATGTGAAAGGACTTTTCATGTGCAGCTCCACTTTTCTAGTTTTGACAGTGTGGAAACAACTGAACTGCAGTTTAAATCCAGTTTGAACATTGACTTAACTAGATCCTCCTTTCTTGCTTTTTGGAAGCCGTCTTCGTAATTGTGTTTTAATGACGTATTGAGCAATTACTTTTTGTTTTCGTTAGTGTTTCTGTATCTCTCTGAAATACAGATATGAAGATGTTATGCTGTGCTTATTAAATCTTTATTTGTACAATGACACACATATGTATATATATAGCACTAACTGATGTCACATTGCATTTAACTTAAGCTGTGCAGAAAAATATCAAGTTAGTGGTGTGCTTATTGCTAATGTTGGCCAACAATCTTTAAAGAACAACTAAATACTCAAATCTAATTATCCATTTTTAGTGTGATGATGTGTTTGTGTGTCTCTTTCTGTCCAATTGGCTTTGTCTGTGTCGGTGCTTTCTTTTTAATCTGTCTTATCTGACCTTCCTAGGCTTCCGCAACCTGCACCTGGATGACCAGATGACTTTGCTGCAGTGCTCCTGGCTCTTTCTAATGTCCTTCAGTCTCGGCTGGAGGTCGTATGAGCAGTGTAACGGTAGCATGCTCTGCTTCGCCCCCGATCTCGTCATCAACAAGTGCGTACCACTGCCAGCTGCTGTATATTTAATGCAGTCCTTTCTTCAGCAACAACTTGTCGGCCAGTTTTGTCTTGTAATTTGCTCATTTCAGGGTGTCAGTCTCGCTTCATCACTTTGGCTTGCTAGCTCACCCATGTATCTATTCATGACTCATGACTTGCTAGAGGAGAAGACAGGTCATGAGGCTGGCAACGACTGTATATTGGAAATTTGGCAGTTTGTGCATTAAAGATGTTGGAAGAGGTGAAAAGGAGCAGCTGCTGATGCCATGTTTATCAGAGGAAGCACACGGCTGTTTGCACCCTTCCCAGGCCAAACATTGGACATATCTGAAACAAAGACAGTCTTTGTTTCAGATAAAGACACTACGATGAGGCCATGGCAAAAAAAAAAAGAAAAAAGCCTTCAAAATGTGGTTGAAACAATCCCAGGCTTAACCCACCTACATACCTCTACACTCTGCCTTACAGGAATATTTTCACACGTTTGGAAAAACACATTTTTGCTCTCTTGCAGAAGCTTAGATGCGAAGATCGATACCACTCTCATGCCTGAGCCTTGTGTACGGAGCTGGAGCCAGGAGGCCGTTAGGCTAGCTCAAAACTACTTGTATCTCGTATGGTTAATCCATACACGAACAGGGCGTTAGGTGTTGGAACTACTTCTTGGAGACTTCAGACAGAGCCATCCTCGCTGTCTCACCCTTTATCCAGTCTATATGCTAAACAAGGCTCCTCCTGGCTGTAGCTTCTTACTTTACTCACAGACGTGAGAGTGGAATCCATCTTTTCATCTGAATCTGAGAATGAAAGAATATTCAAGCTACATGGATGAATCCATGATTAAATGTATGCCAGCTGAGAAGTGAAAAGAAACTTGAGCACAGAAATGCTAACCTAGGTTTGAGGTCATTTAGATACAGTGTCACCTTTACACAGTTTGACCACCTTATTTCTCAACCGTAAAATGTCCCATTTAGGATATATATATATATATATATATATATATATATATGAAGATCATAAATCAGAACCAAAATCCTGTATGATGATATTCTTATCTTAGTTTTTGATATTAAATCACTATGTAATCCTGCTCAAAGTGTAGCAACTCCACACAGGTGCGCAGTCCCAGATTTGCTGGTTTCTGTTGCAGGGGTGGAATGAAATATTTTGTAATAATTCTAAGAGTATTTGTAGTGATTTATTAAGATAAATATTTATAGGAAAGAACCCCGTTAGTTTTTGTAATGCACAGAAAAAAAGCACAATCAGAATCCATGTCATGTAGAAAGAAGCGAGTGCATCAGCCACATACTGAACCATACAGTAAATAACCCTCTGTGCTAAATTGAAGCCACAGAGAGACGGCTCAGGTACGATTGCAGTATGTTAATTACAAGGCCTCATTACTTAAACAGTCACTGGCTGCAGAAATTGATTGTGCTTGGATGTATCTGTGCTTACCACAGTCTTTGTAGTCCCTGGAGGAAACAGGATAGAGGCTAATCTCCTGTTAGTACGTCTGTTTCCATAGCACTGTTTTAATTTGGAAGCTCAGGTTTTAAACACTTTGGGAGGTAAAACAACATTGTGCCATTTCACCCATCATCTTTCAGTCTTAATCCTTCTGAGCTCCTCGCACTTTAGTGGGCCTTTGCTGATTATTTCTCACAACAGGACTTTTTTTTTAATGAAAAGAAAGAAGTCCTGCTCCCTCTCCCAGATATCCTGTGTTTCACTGACTGTTGTAGCCTTTTTTTTTCTGAAAAGCTAAAACATGTTTTGTGTTTGTATTTCAAGATAATTGATTGATTATTAGCATTTGACAGCTACAGCTGTTACATAACTTCTGTGTAGGCATTTGTATCATTTCGAAATTTTTCTTATCGATGATAATAATTTCCAGAAAATTCGACATTTTCCTGTACCTCACTTTGAGAAATGTTAAATGTGTTTACACAAAAAACTTTTTTTTGTTTGTTTTCTGGTTAATAACATAAGCCAAACGTCTCAAGTGCATTAACTTAATAAATAAAACACAGTAGAAGGAGCAAAAATTTTATTTAAATCAAGATTTAAATAAAACAACATTTAGAGTTTGACCAAGCAATTCAACTATAACTTGATTTCATCAGTTTGCTAAAGGCTAGGTGTAACCACTGACTCTGATGTGACCATTTGGAAGTTGTCTGAAGTGCAGTGCTCCTTTGCCCAAAGTGTAAATGTTGTTTACTTCATGCTGAATGAATAGGGTGCAGCAAACACACTGAACTCTCGCTGCTGACATCCTGCAAACAGCTCAGCATCATTATTGGAAATATGTAGACAGAGAGCCCTGAGCTGTGAAGAGTCATTCCCAGATGAGACGTAAACTCAAAGAGGGGTAAAGAGAAATAGATATGAAAGGTGAAGAAGTCATCGCCAGTGGCACTGCACTTGGTCAGAATGAATAGACGGCTCTGAACCCAAGGCTACAAATCTGGAGAATGTGCATTATTGATTTTAGAGGTAGAAAGTAATGTGGGCTGTGTGTTAGTGGAAGTGAGGTGTGAAAATCCATCAGGACTGATTTCACAGTCCGGTTTTCTCCTGCAGGGCTGAAGCGCTTCCCTGCTGGGGCTGTTTTATTGAGAATTGAATAACAGGATGAGTGAAAGAGCTTTAAATCTAATCTGGACGTCTGTTTTCCTCTCTTTCCTCCCCTGCTGTCTCTACCTGCTCTACATCTCTTCTCCCTCAACTCTACTTTGTCCATTCTACTTTTCCTTTCCCTCCTTTCAGAGAGCGAATGAAGCTGCCCTTCATGACCGACCAGTGCGAGCAAATGCTGAAGATCTGTAATGAGTTTGTCAGACTGCAAGTGTCCTATGACGAGTACCTGTGCATGAAGGTCCTGTTACTGCTCAGTACAGGTAATGGAACACGCTTTGCTTTGAAAAACCACAGCAGGGTTTTTTTCAAATTTCAGGGACTGCAATTATTCTGGGATTAAAAACAGATTTCAAAAATCACTTTTCCACCGTATCCAACATGTAATACTGCTGCAACCTTTTGCAATGCGAGGTAGGCTCAATTAGTCACAGCAGAGTAGTATATGTTGTGGGATGGTGGAAAAAACTGTATCATAAATGCCAAGCACTACTGCAGCTTCTATGGATCCATGGAGCATCTGAAAAACCAGGGAAGGTTTTTACCGTGTTGCACGACGGTAGCTACATTTTTCATAGTACCACTTTACCACAACATAAAGAATCAAACATTCACTCATTGTATCATTAAAAGAATTTATGTGCTTGAGTTACGTAAACAACAAAGCTAACAACTAGAGCTGCACTGATTAGTCCATTGACAGAAAATTAATCAGCAGCTATACCGATAATCAATTGTTTCAATAATTTTCTAATGCAAAAATGCTCATGTGACAATTTGCTACTTTTCTGTAACACACTGTATATGACAGTAAATTGCTTTTTGAGGTTTCAGTCTGTCAGTTGGATAAAAACAACAACAACAACAACAGGTTGAAGACATCATCGTGGCCTCTGAGAAATTGTGAATGTCATTTTTTTTTTTTTTTTTTTTTTTTTAACAATTAAGCAGTTCATCGTGGAAAGTAATTATCATAAGAACAAGACAGAAAATCGTGGTTACCTAAAGGCACTTTGTGAAAAGGTGGATAGCGAAATCATCACAAAATGAGCCCGAAAATGCATTGAGCATCACAGATTGATATTCTATAACACTGGGAGAATTCATTTAGGGTTATCTTTTGTAAGAATTGTATCACTCCATCTAGTTCTTTTAGCTTTTCTATAAGAGTGTATTTGTCTTCTGAAAATACTTTGATCTTTGTAGATGCATCATTTTTTTTCTTCCTCTCCATTAACAGAAACAGTTTATGCTTTTTCCTGTACCTACAGAATAGCTTTCAGAGTTTGTTTGAAAATTATAAAATGTGAAGTGAAGTCAACGACAACTTTCTGTTTCTTATCTCGGAGAGTAAAATACAGCTTGCTGTGTAATCAACACAGCTGCAATTTGCCCAAATGGAAAACCTTGTTTCAACAAAAACCTTTTTCCCAAATTATGATTATTTAAGTTTCGCTGAGTGAAAATTGGTCTTAGCAGAGCTCTATTATCGTATCCTAAATTTATTCCGAATGAATGTTGATTTGCAGGCCCTGATTTGCTCGAGTTTAAAATATATAAATTAGTGAAAACCTTTGGAAGACAATTTCTAACAAAAAAAAAAGGCGTAAAAATTGTTAAATGTTTAGCAGCCCTCACTGTCCTGTCTTTCTGAAAAGGTTAAATAATAGACTGTATGCAAACAGTGGACTAGCATTCAAGCTATTCAATTACTACCATTAAAATCACCAGAGATACAAGAAAAAAGTCAGACTTTTCCCCAGTTATGTAAATTTGCCTTTGCTGTAGAGGAGAGCGTCCGTCCTTCCACCTCACTCTCAGAGAATGGCAGGGGAAAGGATGCACTTAAGAGGCGATTTGCTCTTTATACAGAGGAAATGACATTTCCATAGTGAGCACTGGTTACATTTTCATACCTGAGAGCTATTTCCATCTGTTCCCATCAGGGATGGAAATACTATCAGGACAGGACAACTTTGATTTGAGCTGTTTGAATCATTTCTCATGCACATGACTGAGAATTAAAATCACCTATGGGACAATTTGATTTATTATATCATACCTGTTATGCAGGCAGACTTCACTTTCAGCAGAGTTAACATCTGCACCACAATGTTTAAATAATAGGTTCAAAAAAGAACATGCACACACACACAAACAGCAGAAAATAGCTACTATGACCCATTTCTGACAGTCAAATCTCTGTTAAATAAAAGTAACACATTTATTTTATACTAAAAAATCCAGAGAGAGCAGAAAAGGAAATCTGTTTTTACTCTTAAAAATTGTCTCTCTGCCAAACCTGCAAATGCATAATGTACAGGCCAGATAGCACTTCCACTTATCTGATTATGTAAATCGGACAGTACTTCATTCTGATCCTGCCCTCTTTGGCTTTGCATAATCTCTAGGCCAGTGACTGTGGCTTTGCCTGGGCACGATGCCAGGCACCTGACTGACAAGGAATCCATGATGTGTTGACATGGTCATTATGATACCTGCATATTGATGTTTTTCAGCCGTTTGTGGTTTGGTGCTGTGGAAATCCCCAGTGTGTGCTCTTTGAAGTACACATACATGCAGAGATTATAATGTTTTTTTGTTTTTTGTTTTTTTTTTAGGTGTGTGTCCAAACACTTACTGTTCCTCTTGGACTGGGAACATGCTGCACAGTAGCATTTGATGTTACCTTTTAGTTTTGCATACTTTCCACTGCCTCTGGTGAGGAGGTGCATGCATGCATCTGTGTGTGTTTCCCCTTGTTGGGGTCCCACACAGTTAGTTTTAATGACCTGTGCTGTGTGTTGCAGCAGAGAACAGGCTCAAGAACAGGCTAAGACAAACAGAAACATTACTAATTTCAGACACATGTTTGAATGTGCCTAACCAGATGTTCACATCACCAGCTGTCGAGATGGCAACAAAGATATTTATGTATAAATGTGTCCACATAGGTATGGGTCTAAATGCAAATCACATGGGTACATTTTAAGTTCTTCATTGTTCATTACATAAGATAAAACAGAAAGATAAATACAATAGACAACTTTCACCTCCCTCCAGTAGAGATGTGGTGGATTTATAGACATAATTAAAATTTCTGTGCTCCTCTTGGATCGGTTGTCTGTGGGATAATAAAATCGTATCAAAGTTGCGTGGAGTTCTTGACATGAAAATCTCTCAGTGCGTGTGATGTAACATCACAGATATTTTTGAAACAACTACAAATCTGTGCCACCATTAACAATGTTTTTTTTTATTATTATTATCTTTATTTTATTTTAGTCACAATCCCGCCATTGTCTGCCAACTTGCACGCCAACGTCTCTCCTGATATCTTTGTTTTTGTGTTTATGTTCGGTGTGTGTGTGTGTGTGTGTGTGTGTGGTGGTGTGTGTGTGTGTGTGTGTGTGTGTGTGTGTGTGTGTGTGTGTGTGTGTGTGTGTGTGTGTGTGTGTGTGTGTGTGTGTGTGTGTGTGTGTGTGTGTGTGTGTAGTGCCAAAAGATGGCCTGAAGAGCCAGGCGGTGTTTGACGAGATCAGGATGACATACATCAAGGAGCTGGGAAAAGCCATCGTCAAGAGAGAGGAGAACGCTAGTCAAAACTGGCAGCGCTTCTACCAGCTGACTAAGCTACTGGACTCGATGCAGGAGGTTAGAGAAATGCACACACACGCACACACACACACACACTGAATCAGCATATACTGTGATGATTTCTGTTTCTCCTCCTCTTCTTGGTTTTCTTAGAATTCAGTCATGTCTATAAGGTTTCACAAGTGGCTTCCTGTTACATCTTCTTTCATAGCAGTCAGGTGTTTTCTTTCACATCTAGTGGTTCAAGTGCATCAATAACTCGGTGTTCTTCTGAGATCCTCGCACCATGCTGATTAGTGTAAACCCCAAAAGAATACACTCACAGATCCCACTAAGTGCATTATATTACGCTCAAGTCTATTTCAGCCGCTCTCCTTCCTGTAAGGCCTCTTTGCAGAAGTAAAGATCCACTGCAGGCTAATTTAAAAATAATCTTCAAATAATGGAAAAAAAAGCTTTACAATACCTAATAGATTCTAACTAATGTGTCTGTCTCTGCCCTCTTGGATGTCTCCTCCAGATGGTCGAGGGTCTTCTCCAGATCTGTTTCTACACCTTTGTGAATAAAACCCTCAGTGTGGAATTCCCGGAGATGCTGGCGGAGATCATCACCAACCAGATACCAAAATTCAAAGACGGGAGTGTCAAGCCTCTGCTGTTTCATCAGAAATGACTGCCTTAAACTGTGAAGCAATGACTTAAATCCTCCTCCAGGAGCACAATACCTGTGGCCTCACGCCTCCTAATCTGGTCCCAGATTTGGCCAAACTACAGTAGGACACCCTACTACCGACCTGTAGCCCTTCCTCTTGGCTAACCAAGAAGAATTTGGCCTCCAGGGGGAAATGTTTTGGCTCTGAATGTCTTGTGGGCAGGCTGCATTTTGGTGATCTATTTGTTTCCCCGAGCCCCTTACCTCCGCCTATGTCTTTCCTGCCTCCAGTGTTTCACTGCTGTTTTCACTGACAAGCCAACACCTAGAACCACCTTTTCCTCATTCAACATGACACCAAACACACTCTCCGACTCGCTGGATTAGCAGCCTGTTGAAGCTTGCCCCCAGTTTAAGCCTGATGTTCCTCTGCTCACCTGCCCAGCTTGTCTCTGTTTGCCCTCCACGGCTCCACTGCACGGAGAATGTAGTGAGCGCTGGCTTGCTGTGGTTTCCAGAGAACTGGTGGCGACGAAAGGGACAAACAAAATCACAGAATAATTAGAAACATACTTTTTTCTCCCCCCCCCCCCCCCCCCCCCCCCCCCCCCCCCCCCCCCCCCCCCCCCCTCCCTCTGGACTCCAAGGACAGTGAGGACAAACAGTTTTCAGCTGTGAATCAGTTATCTTTTCTGAAATGAAACAAATCAGATTTATATACCTGACCAATGGATGAAAAAAAAAAAAAAAAAAAAACATATAGAGGAATATTCTCCATTTATTTTATGCAGGCACGCATTTCTGACCACACATGCAAAAGTCACTTACACACATAAACATACAAAGCAGACGCAGACATGCATTCACACAAATCAAAATGTTTACACAGGATGTATCCGAGAAGGGAAAACCAGTGCCTTTTTAGCTTTTAAAGCTCTTCATAGCCATCCTCTCTAAAACCGTTGTGTTTCTTTGCATAAGAATGTAACCTTGACATCCTTCCACATATTTTGTCTGTTTTAGTTTTTCCATGCTGGCAATTTCTGTTTTCTTTTCAAACCGCCATGTTAGTGTTTTTAATGTGGGCAGCTCTCTCTGTTCTTATCCCCAGACATGCACATAAGGAAGACAGCCTTTGATACAGATTTGATTTGATTTAAGATCTTTAAAAAAAAAAAAAAAAAAAAAAAAAAAAAAAAAAAAGACAGGAAAAGTATCACCAAATGTTGTTAAAGTCTCAAACATTTCATGTTTCTTTTCCCCTGTGTGAAGTACATTTGATAAGTGTACTGCATTGCCCAATTAGGATCACATTGTGTTGAAAGTTACAGGTTACCCAGGTTATATCAACAGATATAATGTTGAACACACATGCAAATACAAACTTGTGAGAAGCTGCAACCAGCTCTGTGCTAAATGGACACCACTGGAATTTAAACAAGACATATCTGATGTTTTGTACTATTTAGGTGCAGACTGACTGACTGACTTAAACATTACCGACTGTAGATCTTGGAATAATCAGCGAGTTGTTAATTGGAATGAAACTTGTTTACGAACCTTTGCAGTTTATTCAGGTGCAGTCACACCCCAAGGTGTCAAAAGTCCAAGGTGTCTGTGTGTTGATAAGTAGCCATAATTCAAAACCGTCCTTTCATTGCCAGCTGCATTCATGCTGAGGTTCTAGCTTCGTAAATGGTTTCATGCAACTTCATTTTAAAAAATATGCTTTCATGGAGCTCCAGTTGAGATGACTTACCTGTCCGCGTTGGCGTGTTACCATCTCAGAAAGCACAGCAAGTTCAAATGAGAAAGGAAATTATTTGTGCTGTGTGTTGCAACCTAACAGGAGTACTAGACCAGTTAGATTTTCTAGATGATAACAATTCTCAAACCTCTAAATACTTAGATGTTTATTAATTGATTCTCTGGAAATTATTAATTTCACAATGCAGTACTCCTGAGAAGTAAATAAAAAGCATATTAATTTGTGAAAAAAAGTATTTCTCTCAAAATACCATAAATTAAATATATCTTTTAATCAGGTTCATCTCAGTGTTTGCACAAACAGAAAATTAGGTTATCATTAAGCTGATGAGCTCAAACATAACTGAAAAGGTAAATAAATATAATATGCATATATATATATATATTTTGTAATATGAGATGTAAAAATAGAGACACCCGCAATCAACGGAACCTTTGTTCTCAGCACAAGACTTCACCTCTAAAGTTGAAATATTTTTGCAGTTTGGTCCAAATAATTTGTGAATTACAGCTCAGGCTGACAAGCGAGCATCACATGGATGTGTTCCACTAGTGCCAAATGTAATAGCAAGTTTATATATATATATATATTTTTTTTTTTTTTCCTGGACATGTGAAAAAGTGATTATTCAGTTGTAATTTGACATCATGTGGTTCTTGTAACTTTGCTTAAGGGTGCTCAATTATGAGAAAGAGCTTAGTTCAGTGTCACATCTACACCAGCTAAAAAGTACTGATTGTTATCATCTAAGTAAGTGTATGATATATATATATATTATATATAATATATATATTTCTTTTTTTGGAAATGCACAAAATATTGTATTTTTGAAATTGCAAAATAAGCAGTACTTTCTACTGCTGTCAAACAGGTGGTGATCAGCATTTGGTACATTTGTAATGTGGAAATATGATTGTACCAGCTTATGCGATAGCCAAAGCAAAATACATGAACAGTGCAGTTGTACATTGCCCCCCCCCCCCCCCCCCCTTCATAATAGATGCGGGTCTATTTTCCTCACTGTTTCTTGTAACTGCCAGGCCTCTCTGCCTAAAATGTCGACCATATAGATTTTCAGCTGTTTACTCTGAATGGTACTCGTCCTTCCGCAGCGCATAACTCTGAATGGCAGTTAACAGACCAGGTAGCAGGTTGCCATAGAGACCGGTCATTTGTGTGTTACTTACAGCTAACAGCACAGCAGGCTCTGGACGCATACAAGCCGCTTTTCACTAAGAGCCATCATGTTTTTAATCAGCCATTCTGCCAAAGGATGGCCACTCGCAGCAGGGTTGTTTCATGTGCAGTGTCGGCTTTCAGCTTCACCTGCTGACTTGGTCTCATTGGCCTCGGACTTGATGTTGCTCACAACATTGCTGATTATTCTGGGGAAGATTTGACTTGTCTATTTGTTTGGGTAACTTTGCATTCAGTATTACAGCTGTTTCCAGGTGGTGGTGCTTCAGAAAACCAGCTTTAACGCATAGATGTAACCATATCCCTGCTCATTTCTAAATGGCCATAGGTGTATATAGCAGCGCCGACATATCCAGTGCAACCTTAACAGTGTCTATTATTACAAAATATTTTTTACATAGACCTAACCTCTATACTCCTACACATTTTTTCTTTTGCCTTTCAGCTTCATGTTCGACTAAAGGCCTTGCGAAAGGGAGACAGAGAGCCATAGAAATAAGATTTCAAATCAGGAAATAGATAAACCCTTAACAAATATCAATGCTTTTGGAGATTGATCTGTTGTAAAAAATGACAATATTTTCTGTGATTTTGAATACATCAGCTTGATCCTCTTTGATATAATGATTTTACTCAATCCTTTTTGTACATTGAACGAGTCAGAAAGTAAATATTTTTCTGTTTGTTGGTTTGTGTTTGATAAAAGGTAGATGTGTTGAATACATTAGGAAGTGTTAAACATGTTTGTCTTGTGAAGTAAATGTAAATTTTACGAGTCAATGGGAAAGTCTACACGAATGCTCACTGTGTTTTAAAGTTCTATGGAAACGAGGGAGAGGAGGGGAGGAGGGGAAGGAGTCAGGGGTGGACTTGGGGAGGTTTTGTGTTATATAAGAGTGACCAAAGCAGAGGAGAAAAAAAATGATTTAACAAACAAAAAGAAGTATTCAAGTAGTTACATTTTAAGTAGCACTTATTATCCAGCTTGTAGTACTTCTTATTGTATTTGAAAGGTATCTTTTGTAAAGGTCAAGGCTTTGGATCCCATATATATATTGCTGTGAGGATTTACTGGTCACTTTAAAATAGAAACCAAAACACACACAAAAAAAAGTTGAATCTCCGTGTGAAAGTAAATCTGCCAGAGCCTAATGGAATTGCACTACCCTCCTACTGGTCGATAAAGTCTATTTTGTATAAAATACAAGCAAATATTATCTTTAAAGATTAAGGGCAGATCATGTTTCACTGGTATATATGGCTATGGCTTTCATTGAAATCTGTTATGTTCGTATTTCAGTTATGTAAATGTAATCCAATGTAAAAAAACAAACAAAAAATATAAAATGTTTGTTTAAAAAAAAACAATAGTTTGTATTACTTCTGTATTACACCTCTTCTGTAGTCAGTGTCGATATTTTCACCTATTTGATTAAATGTTGAATTAAGTTATCTGTGTTGTTCTTTGACATTGGATTTGGCATCCTGTTGGTAACATCTTGGTTGATGTTTTTGTCATGACTGGTTAAAAGTGGAAATTCGGAAGAACTGATTTCTCTTTCGTTCAAACATCTTACACAATAAAGTTTTCTGTTTTCCAACACTCAGCTCCAGTGTGTTCTATTTTTATTTCAAGTTTCAATTATTTTAATTGATGGTAATTGCATGTTAAACTAAGCTGTAAAACTGATCATTTCACGTTATTATATTATGTATACATATAATTGCTGCATAATTTTATGCCATACTATCCTATGACTTTTTATGTCTAACCATACTATGACTTTTTTATGCCTTGCGATACTATGAAGATTTTTTTTTACCTTTTTATGCCGTACAATACTATGACGCTCTATGCCTTACTATGTTATCACTGTTTATGCGTTAACATACCACGAAGGTTTTAGATGTTTTTATACCTTCCTATAGTATGATGTTTTTTGATGTTTTTATGCCTTACTATAATATGATGTTTTGGTCATTTTTATGCCTTGCCATACTATGATGTTTTTTGCCTCATTATATTATTAACTTTTATGCCTTACTATACTACGACGTTTTTTTATACCTTACTTTACTTTGACTTTTTATGCGTTAAAATATTATGATGTTTTATGATATTTTTATACCTTACTATATTTATAAGTATATAAATGTAAATATGAGTTTTTTTAACTTTTTATTCCTTACTATACTATGACGTTTTTTTAACATTCTATGCCTTATTATACTATGACTTTATTTTAGCTTTTTGTGCCTTACTATACTATGACATTTTTGAACATTTTATGCCATACTATACTATGACGTTTTATCAACTTTTTATGCCTTACCATATTATGACGTTTTATGCCATACTATATACTATGACGTTCTTTGAACTTTTTATGCCTTACTATACTGTGACGTTTTTGAACGTTTTATGCCTTATGACGTTTTATCAGCGTTTTATGCCTTACTACAAAATTACGTATTTTGAACTTTTTATGGCTTACTATACTATGACGTTTTATGCCTCACTATACTTTGACTTTTTTTTTACTTTTTATGCCTTACTATTGTAGGACGTTTTATGCCATACTATACTATGACGTTTTATGCCTTACTATACTATGA